TGAACGTTTAGTTGCTGAGGTTTTATCAGAAAGCTCAGCGGCAGCTGTAGAAAGCATGAAAACTTTAGATGTTGTTAGGAAGAATGAAGAGTGCGCCAGTTCGGCTGCTAAAGCAGGAGAAAATGAGATTAAAGTGAGTTCTGAACAAGGTGACTCGGAAACAAAAGAAATTACAGAAGTGGTTGAAACAAGACCAGCTGCCCCTGAGGCTACAGAGAAGAAAGAAACAGGAGCCGGGGAGGTTATGTCTGCAGCAGTCAAAGAAACTGTAGCCGCTGACACTGTTGCAGTAACTGAGGCGAGTTCAGCTGTGAAGACAGCAGCTCCTGTAAGACCACAAAGAGGCAGGAAACCCTCAGTGGAGCAAACTCAGCCGTCACCTCCTCAACTTCAGGTGGTGCCTGTGCGTCCTCGTAGAGGATCCAGTGAAACTCAGACCCAGCCGCAGACGAAAACCCAGCCCCAGGTGCAGGAACAGAGTGCAGCTCAGCTTGAAGCTCGGTCCCCAGAACAGCTCTCTGAAACACAGGTAAAACATCAAACACCGTCTGTGCCTCAGGTTGAGGACCACACTATAGCAAAGAAACCTCCTGGAGGGTCTGGAGAGAAGCAGTCTGAATCTCGGCTTCAGTGTGAGACTCAGGCCGTGTCTCCGGGCTCTAGTGAAGTCCAAGTCAGGCCTAAATCAATACAACCCCAATCTCAAACTTCTGCACCTCGGCGGGACTCAAAAGAGCTGAAAGCACCGCAGAGGGTGTCTGGTGCATCACACACTCCTAGACGTGGATCGGGAGAAGCCCAGACCCAACCACCTCGCCAAGCGTCAAGCGATGCTCAAACTCAACCTCAGGGTTCACGTAGAAGCTCCAGTGAGGCTCAGGCCCCTCCGAAAGATGCCAGTGAGACACAGTCACTGCGCAGAGGCTCCAGTGAAGCAGCTCAGCGCCGTGGCTCAAGCGAAGCCCAGGGTTCACGTCGCGACACCGGGGAGCCCCAGCCTCCTCGAAGAGGCTCCAGCGAATCACCTACATCGCCTGCAGCTTTGGGTCAAGTTGTAACTCGGATAACGGGGCTGCTAGGAGAGCAGTGGGCACATCTCGGAAGCAGCTCTGGCACTCAGCAAACAGCCAGCCAGCAGGAGAGCGCGAGCACACAGAAAAAGACGACAGGGAAAAGAGCAGAGGCTGGAAAGGCAACGTCAGCCAAGCCAGCGGGGAAAGCAGCCCCAGCGGGGAAAGCAGCCCCAGCAGCAGCAGCGACAGGGAAACCAGCGGGAAAACCTGGTACTTCCAAAATGAGCTCCATTCAGAGCCAACTGGTCAGCTCCCTCAGTGTCCTCTCTGCCTTCTACTCCCCAAGCCAGAAAGCGGCTGCTGCCAGCAAACAGCAAGAACAAGGTAGGCCCGTGGTTCACCTATTTGTATTAGCTAAAGCCATTTCTCTCTTATAGTCACTGAATAGATCCCTTCAAGGAGCATAATGATGCATTAGCCATGCCGCTTCATTACAACATGTCCCTTATGATCTATAATCGTCATGAAGTATTATAAATGTGTACAGCTCATTCGCCCGAAACATTGACTTCTCTCCCTAAAAAGAACTCCTGCAGAAACAGCCAAACATTTTCAGTATGGTTAGACAAACATCCATGGTTTCACTTTTATAGACGCATCGTAGCCCTGCATACCAGCAAACTCTTACAAATGGTGCGTTCACAGCACAGATTTTTTTCATTGCAACTTGAAACCACACTGCTCCCATTCAATTACTGGGAACATTATACTCAAGTTGATATGCTGTCAAATTATCACTTCTCCTGCTTCTATGAATAGTACTGTACTACAAAAGTACTACAAAAGTTTTAGATTAGATGCCGTAATAGGATCGCGATAGAAATAAATGACAATGCTTAACTTATTTTAAGGGTAATATCTTGAAATTGATGTGCCTTTTCTTTCTGGAGAGCGCAGGGATTGTTAATATAAGACATATTACGCAGAGCACAAAATACACGGAGCACTGTTGCTACAGTAAATGTCAGTTATACTCTGAAGTGCAGAGTGGAGGAGGGGTGAGGGATGGGGAGCTGGGAATAGGCATTTTTTTCTGTTA